TGCAGCGCCCTGGATCATTCCAGCGCCCCCTACGGAGCGGCAGCTCCCAATTTGGGAAACTGCTCAATCTTTTCCCCACAAGATTGGACTTGTGTCAGTGCTGTTACTCCCTGGACCGCATCGGGAAATCACGAAGCTGGCCAAACTTGGGCAGAGGGAGGATGTAGGGAGCAAGGAGAAGGATGTCAGATGTGGTTGTAAGTGCTGTCTGCCTAAGGCTTCTCTTTCCATTCCAGACCCCAGTTGGCAGCCTGAAGGCTCCTGTCTGGCTTCGAGCCTACTTCCAGGGCCTGCTCTTCTCTCTGGGCTGCAGGATCCAGAGGCATTGTGGCAAAGTGCTTTTCTTGGGACTGCTGGTCTTTGGGGCCCTGGCACTGGGGCTCCGCGTGGCCATCATTGAGACGGACCTGGAGCAGCTCTGGGTAGAAGGTAAGTTGTGGGCACTGTGTAGATGGCTTGGGTTTGGTGAGCCCCAAACAAGAAGAGGGTGTGGAGCTGGCTCCTGAGCCCTAGTAGGTCTGGAGGAGTTGAGCCAAGCCTGCCGCCTGCCTGCCAGAGCTTGTACACCAGGGACCACCATCCCTCCCACACCTGGGCATCTGCAGACAGTGGGTCCTACGAATAGGTGTACAGGCGATTTACCTATGATTATGTATGTGTGGGTGTTTATTTAGCGTGTATTATCCACTTTATAGATGTCATTTTGAAAACACAGCACAATTTATAAAGGCAACTAAAAAAAACAAGAGCCATCTATAGTAGGCTACACTCTTTTTTTCTTTCCTTTTTTAAAAAAAATTAGGCTACACTCTTGCAAGCACAATCAAGTAAGTGCTGGGATAACAGCAAGACAATACAGAGCGGGGTGGGGTTTTGCTGTACCTTACATTGTTCCACAAACCCTTTGAAGTCCCCTACTAAGAGAAGGTGAGGAGAGACCACATTTGACCAGGAGCATCAGAAAAGTTAGGGCAGGAAGGCAGCAGCACCCCCCTCTAGCCATTGGAGGCAAGGTGCCAGGAACATGGCCCCGGGACCTGAGCTTGGAGACAACAGCCAGGGTCCCATGGGACCACAGCCTCCCTACCTAATGGGGGCATTCCATTTAAATAGTTCAGATTAATACATTCAGCATGACTTTCCGGGGCCTGGCTTCATAGGGCAGCCCTATAAACCCCTCTTCTTCCCTGGGACATTTGCATCATGGGCTTCTCCAGGGCGCACCCCCCACCACCACCACCCCCCACTGCTGGCCCACTCCCAAAGGCAGGGCCCAGGTTGAAGGCTCACACCCTTGAGTTATTTCAAATGTTGGCAAGTCCTAGGATCCAGAGCAGATGTTTCTTGGAGCTTGCCTGCCTTTTGGGCTTCCACACCCCATTCCCACACCCTACCCCCAGCCTCTACAGACTCTCAACACACACACACTCTCAGCCAGCCCTGGGGGCCACAGCAGATGTTTCTCTGTGCCTGCCTCTCTGTCCGCCCCTAGCCCCAGGACACACATGTGCATACATGCACACAGACATACCCCCACCCACACTACTGCTGCCTGGGTGGTCTCAAATGGCTCTTGGATTTCTGCAATGGAGCTGGTCTCCCGCCCCTTCCTCCTTCCCTAATTCCCAGATCTTCCCGTCTAACCCCTCCCATCCTGTGTCTCCTCACCCCCTCTCTCTCACCCCAGCACTGCCTGCCTGTTTTAGGAGAGAGTTGTTTTGCTGCTCTTAGGGGAGAGTGGTAGCCAATCCTGTGGCCTTTCTTCATTTTAGAATATCCCTCTGCCTGTGTTACCTGGCTGGAGGGTGTGGGTAAAAGCAATGATCTTGAGTTGATATTTTGTCTATAGCTAGACTTCTCCCCCTAGGCCCCCCCAGGGCCCAGTGAGTTGCTGATCAAGGTGAGGACCGAAGGGTATTCACCACTTTGTTCCCATCTGTGAATACCGAAATGTGAGGAAGGAGCAGGGCATGGGCTCTGTGAGTTTGGGGCCAGGATTCAGGCTCCCCTCCTGCTCTGCAGTGGCAGATGAGAGATATAACTTATGGTCTTTCCTGGCTCACTTCAAAGCTAAAGGGCTTAAAGGTAGGTTGTTCTCTAAAATAGACATCAGAATAGGTAGCCCAGCTGTTACTGAAAGGAAGCGTGATGGAGACTCTTTGGCATTGGAACGGTCTAGAACAGCAGAGGATGGAGCATGGCAACTGGTCAAACCAACCGCTCACATACCTTTGGCTGGACTCACCTGATTGTTCACTAAGCTTATAAATGCTTCCATCTTAAGCACTCTCGTGGAGTGCCTCTAAAAACATATGTGTGTAAAACCCTCAATGTCACCGAGTCAATTCTAACTTATAGCAACCCTATAGGGCAGTAGAGCTGCCCCTGTGGGTTTCTGAGACTGGAAATCTCCATGGGAATGGAAAGCCTCCTCTGTCTTCTGCTCAGCGGCTAGTGGTTTTGAACGATAAGCCTTGACGTTAGCAGCCCGACACATAACCCACTGTGCTACCAGGGTTCCTGTGGAATCCCTGGGTGTACTGTAAACAATTAAAATGCTCAGCTACAAAAGGCACCTCACAAGGAATCCTGGTGATCTCTCTGGAATGTCAACCCGTGAAAACGCCGTGGAGCATCTTTCACCTTGGCCCCTAGGAAAGACTCGAGAGAAAAACTGGTGAAACTCTTAGAGCAAACCAAACCTCCGCCAGAGGCCTTTCTCAGCCTCTCCCACCAAACTCTTGATGATACTGTTTAGAATGCTCTCAGACACATGAAAAAGAAATGAAGAAAATTGATTATCCTCGGTGACTATAGGACAATACGAAGTCTAGCAGTGGGCAGGATGGTTAATTCAGCAACCTAAGGGCTTAAGCAAAGAGCCCCAGTAGCATGGTGGTTATGCATTGGGCTTGTTAACTGGAAAGTCAGTGGTTCAAAACCACCAGCCACTCTGCAGGAGAAAGATGAAGCTGAGTTACATTCTCAGAAACCCATAGGGGCAGTTCTGCCTTGTCCTATAGGGTCAGTATGAATCAGAATGGACTCGATAGAGGTGAGTTTGAGTTTTGGAAGGACGGAAGGAAGCAAGAACCCAGTGTTTTCCTATCTTTCCTCTGGGCATCTTCAGCATGTTGGCCTTTGTCTGCAGGCCTACCACCTTATCCACGGCAGAGGCCGGCAACCATTCATTCATCCCTTTGTGAAAGCGAGGAAGATTTTCCCAGAAGCGCCAGCAAAGTACCTATTTGATCCCTTGGCAAATCTTTGCAACCTCTGCCTACATTGCTGATTGGCTTCCCTGAAGCTCCGGTTTCCTGGGAAACACGAGCTTAATCTCCTGAGGCTAAAGGAAGACGTGGGGGCAACTTCCCTGAATCACAAACCTTAGAGACAGGCCCAGCGTTTCTTAGAAGAGTAAAGTGACAGAATGAAGCACCAGCATCTTCCAGAACCTCACCTTTAAACCTGCCTCCACACTGCCCCCCTGTGGTGTACCTAAATCTAACCTGGCCCGTCTCCTACTTTGGTGAGGCGGTGGGCTGCC